GGTTTTATTTACATGCACCAAGCCAGTAGCTGCGATCCCGTTCGGCGATCGCTGACTCTGACATAATTAAAGTCCAATGCCGAAACGTAAGGAGAGATACATCGTACGCCACTGTTAACGCACCGAATTTGGCAATACATAGGCTCGTAGCGTTAGCAGTGGCGCACGCATGTGACATGTAACTCTCTTCCGTTTTGGTACCTGAGTATATGGTGACTCAGCAAAATCGTTTTAAATACATCTGACGCATGAACTAGGTTTTTATGTGAAGATATTATGATCAGTATCAGAGACCTTCAAGCAACAACCTAGTATGGGATTTGAAAAAATCTATTTTGTATTCTTGCGATTTTCAGAAGTACGATATTTCGGAACAGTTAATGACATAGGAAATATGCTTCAATAAATGTTATAGAATCCCAACAATGTGGTATTGTATTTGTCTATACCCTGTAAAACCTACTGTGAATTTCATCAATAATTATTTTTTTTTTGCAAATTTTGTGTATGGTCTGTTGCGATCGTAAATCAAACATCCAAGTGTCGTGAAATCTAGCAAAAATTTAGAAAAATATTCAAGATTCCAACAGCTGTACCACTTTTGCCTCTAGAGTTCAATGCTGAATGAAACAGATAAGGCTTCTCACCTCAGCCAATATGTACGAGGGTTAATCCAGAAATCCGACAACACCGCTGTGCTTGGCTGTTCAGCCACTCTCGCTTTCTGCCGGCTACGCTTCACTGAGTCTTGGTTCAGGTTACACCCGTATCCAAATGTGATGGGACATGTTTTCACTTATGTGTTTTCGACGCATTTGAGCCTGATGAAGGCAAAAGGCTGAAACTTGAGTCGCTCGGGTTATCAATCCTTATATTTCTCCTCCGGATCGTGGTGCTCCCATGAAAGAATTTAAATGCCGCATTGCCGAACACGAAAAGGTCATGAGCTCAGGTCACACGGAAGGATTCGAGGCGAAATCTGGTAACACCGCTGTTGGCCCACTCTTGATTTAACCTAGCCACGCTTCGCATTGCCGCTTAGTGGTGTTGATTCTCGCTGCTTTCGAGTACTCGTTACTAATCGTTACTCTTCTACAAAGTAATCATTTATTGTATTCGTTACTTTGATTACTATGAGTAGTATGAGTATAACGATTTGGCAACGTGCGTTGTGTAATTAATGTCGAATTTGAACAAGTTCAAATCTTGTAAGAAAATAGACAAGCTTAAAATTTGCAAAATGTTATTCAAATCTGTCGTGTTTAATGCAAGCATCGTATCTTCAAACTGTATGCTTATAGAGATGGGTTATTATAGGATAGAGTGTCATATGACTTATATGAGCCTACAATATAAACGTATTTTAGTCAGAAATATGATCTGTATATAGGTTTAAGGAAATTCGGAATGGCAATAAACTTTTCGAAGTAAACAATTAAGCATATACCAGCATAAAAAGTTGTACGTGGAGCTTAGTCTACACATACTATTGGTGCTCATACTGAATTATAATTTTTTTAGCAAAATAGTACAAGTAAACAGGAGTCAAATTGACATAATTTTTATTACAGTGGTTTTTCCGAACTGTGGTGTTACTTTGTTATCGCTTTTCTGTCTCATAATACTGCCGATCTTTGCTCCTCCAAATCCAACCGACCCCTTATTCCTTTTCAGGTTCCCAAGATCACAACAATATAATCGAATTTGAGTTACGGTGTAAACAGCTAAACTTCAGATTTAAAAACAATTACCAAATTCTAATATCCGCCAATCAAAAAAAGTTGAGTTTCCAGGTTTCCACCCGAATGTGGGATGTCTGGCAACCCTGATGCATGAGCGGCAGTGCTACAGTCAAACCAGCGTTGTCACTCGACGATTGGTCGGGTACCGGGTACGGATACGGAAAACAGAGTAATCAAAGTAATCAAAGTAATCGTTTCGTGTTCTGATTGGTACTCATTACTTCGGGTATCTATGAGTAACGAGTACTCGAGTATCGTATAGTTACCTTTTCAACACCACTAGTGCCGCTCATTCTTGGCTCAGCAGCTGTCTGATGTGGAGGTTCATATTGTAGATCCCGTCAAGTGCAAGATTTGTTCCGTAGTACGCCAGTGGGACTCCAACCGTGGGTATCATCAGTTGACAGAGGTACTCGTATATGCCTACAAGTGTTTGTGTACGCATCCAAATGTGGTACAGAGAGCTTAGCAGACGGTAGTAGCCGATGACAAGCAGAATAGAAGATCCTCATTTTTGGAGGCGTTAATCGAGAGGGCCCAACGCGAAACGACTGGAAACAGGAAGATCACCGCCCGTAAACTCCAAGGAATCCATTCTGTTCTTCTTCGTGGACTTCATCCGATCGGCAGGCCTGTTATGTAAAAACCTTACATATTGTCAAAAAGTCGCAAAATGTCAACTTGTGCTAGTTCTTTCCGAGCCTACTACAAGTGAGCATGAAGTTAATGTCAGCTAGATTGATGGTGATATTTTATAGGAAAACATACATAATGAGTTACGTAATACCGTCATCGCGCTAAGTTCCCTGCATCTCGCACTTGACGAAATCAACAATGGGAGCCTCCATAACGGACGGATGCTGAGCCAAGAATGAGCGGAGTGCGGGAACAACGGTGTTGCCGGATTTGGCCTCCAGCCCTTGCGTGTGACTGGAGCTCTCTGGGAACCTTACTTTTGCATCAAACCTGGTGCTTTGTCCAGCGTACATTTGGAAAAATAACGAAATGCGAGGATTTTAAATTGAAAGCGACGATACATTTGGAAAAAGGCTAGAAGGGTATGTTTGTAAAGATCAGAGGATATTGAGTCTAATATGAAACTACAACATCAAACAGTAAGAAGCATTGCAAAATAAAACTTGTTTGGCTTATATACTTTTTCATACTCGGCAACGAAGCATTTATAGTACCTTCTCTTGAGAGCAACACCATATGATGCTTAATGATAGGAGTAGAAATAGGAGGATGTGCATCGAAAACACCAAATTGAGAGAGTATGCATATCACATCTGTATACGGGTGTAACCTGAATGAAAACAACGATGGAGAGGGAAATATAACTAGAAGCCACTAACAAGAGCCAGCAGGCGCATTTGTGACTTTGGTCTGAGGACCTCGTGTTTACATCATCATCTGACATCAACTGACATGGTCACAAAGGCCAGCTATAAGCTATCTGCCGTGGTACTTCAAAGCCATGATAACAATAAGATCTATTCCCAGAAACCTACAGAATCAACTACCAGCAATGACGGAAGGAGTACGGGACTAAAAGCAAAAGGGCCGTGTGTTTATGTAATGTAATATGTCTCTATTGCATAGTTAATATCACAACATAACATTAAATGTATAATGCAAATGAATGATACTCTAAACCAGAGTTCCCCAAACTTTTTTGTGTCCTAGACCCCTTGCCATGTTTTTCCGTGTTGGGTAGACCCCCTACTTACCTGATATTGATTTCCTGTAAATTTCTAACTGTAGTGAAGTTTAGTGTTAAAAACTGAAAGTAAAAAGACATGTTAATTCATACATTTATTAATTGAATTTAAATTAAAACTACTCAAAATAAAATTTTGCATCTGTTATGTAAAATATACGTAACATTAAATAAACCGGTGTCTGTCCAATAAGTGCCCGCATTGGGAAGAAGTGCCCGCATTGAAAAAAAATAAGAGGGATAAAATAAAAAAAAGTGAAAAATAAAAAAAAAGTTTTTTACTTTTTACTTAAAATAGTACAATAAGCGAGTTCGTTTATTAATTATAACATAAACGTATGTTCTACAATAATTTCACTGTTATCTTGATAAATTCCGTTATCTAAAAATAGGCAAAAAATTAACGAATTTTAGTATGTACCTATGCTTGAATTTTCAGAATAATTAAAAAAAAATATTTTCTATAAAGGGGGGTTCTTTAAAAAAATCAATGCGGGCACTTATTCATAATGCGGGCATTTATTGGTCAGACACCAATAAACATAAAATAAACTATAAATAAAATAACATAAGCAATAAGTCAATATTTTTAGTGAGAAGGATGAACCTGATGCTTTAATAATAAATTATCAACATTTGGCGTCAATTTTGTAAGGGTTAATCTTAAATCTCCTCGGCTAATGATGTCCAGTCCGTTTCTTTTTTTCGTTAGGAGATTGGTAACAGCGCTGAACCCGATTTCCACTAGGTATGACGATGGAAAGGAAATTAAAAATTTCCTCGCTATATTCCATAATACGGGATAAGTAACGGGTATGTTGTTTTGCAGCCAGAATTGCTGATATCCGTTTTTAAACTGAACCTTAAGTTCTTCGTTTGTACTTAGTTCAGTCAGTTTCTCTTGTATTATGACATTCTTCTATGTCACCATATGGATTAATTATCCACGGTGGTATCACCGTAGTCAAAATATCCTCAAACCTAGATTCAAAATCTGAATAGAGGGCATTTAAATGTTGAACGTTGAATCGTCGTCTTCCTGGCCGCTTGTCTGTGGCAAATTGGGGAACTGAGAAAATTCGCCCCGTCCAATATTTTGCTTCATTAGTTTAACTCTGGCAAGAAATGCTGATAAGATAAATTAACCATATTAAATTTTGTAAATAAATCTGTTAAATAGGCGATGTCTGTTTTCCTCTTCATTAAATTTTCTTTTAAAATTTTATCTTTAGTATCCAGAAATTCTAAAATAGTCTCAAAAAGTGCAAAAAATCTTGTAAAATATAAGCCTTTCGACAGCCAGCGTACTTCAGTGTGAAGGAGTAATTGATGAAAGTGTTCGTCATTTTCTTCACACAACTGCGTAAATAACCGCGTATTCAACGCGTTGCTTCGGATTCGGTTTACTAGATCAATGACTAAATGAAGTGATTCATGCAATCTAACACTCAAATTTTTAGCAACTAAATGTTGTCGATGGATGACGCAATGTATTGCTAACACCCCTGACACATTTTTTTTAAATAGCTTTAAATAACCTCCAACCATGGCAGGTGCTCCATCTGTAGCTACTGATATTATAATTGATAAAGGAATTGCTTTTTCGATGAAGTAATCCTTCAAAACATGAAATATTGATTCACCTTTAGTGTCGGTTATCAAAGTTCTTGCGAAGAGCAGTTCTTCGTAGATTTCTTGATTCATAATAAAACGAACATATGCCAATAATAATGCTGCATTATCAGGTAAAGTTGACTCGTCCAGTTGTATAGAGAAATGGGTCGTTTGCAAATAATTACATAAGAAGCTTTCAATATCAGAACTCATTTCATCAATACGTCTTTCAACAGTATTGTTGCTTAAGGGAATTCTTTTGACGATAGCAGATGCAGGTTTGTGTAAAACAGTTTTTAAAACCTCTTCAACGGCTGGCAAAATTAACTTCTCTCCGATAGTATGCGGTTTTCCGGAGTTTGCTATAAGTAACGAGATATTGTAAGACGCCCGCAAACCATCATCATTTCTTTGTGAAGTCGAAGCGAACATTCTGTCCAGTGTAGGTCTCTTCTGAAATTTATCTTTGAGTGTTTGAAAGTATTTCAAACCTTTCTCTATTTTATCAGGGTGGCATCTTCTCAGATGATCTTGCAGTTTAGATGGTTTCATAGCGTCATTGCCCAAAACTTTGTTTGCTTAAAAGGCACATAGGTGATTGTTTGTCCGGCAATGATGGAATAAAGCCAAATTTCAAATAATCATCACTGTACTGTCTACATTTCTTTTTAGATTCGGACATGGCATCAGTCATCTGTGGGCAAAATTAAATTATTTAAATAAGACAGAAAATCCAGCAGCTGTATATTAAAAATATTTTTTGATTTTTCCGAAAATATTCCATAATTCGAACATCTTCTTGCAACAATTAGCTCGAATTACGGAGATTGCACTGTAATTACATTACCGATTGCTAAAACTTTCAAAAAGAAACTATTGAGGAGTACTCGTGTAATTTTGCATGGATGAATATTTAACTACTAATAACTAAAGTCATGATTGACATAATTTATCTATTTTTGCTAACTACGAGTACAAAACTAAAATTTAATAAAAAATAATGTACTTACTTTTCTCCAGCACTCTCAAACAAAATAACACTGACTCACTATAATTTGTGTGATATACTATCTGTTTATATTTTTTAAAATATTTTCTTAGCACTTTCTTTTTCAAGATTCAGGAAACGAATAAACGTATTTGTCCCACATTCGTATTTATAGAGTGACGAATTGAACAAGTCAGTGCAAGGTGGCGAAGCTCTGAGACTGCGACTCTCAGGTTTTTACAAGTTCAAAATGTATTGCGACCCAAAGCGAATACCAACATCCTACAACTTATATTTTATAAACATATATAATACATTTTTACATCATAGGTAATTTTATAAATAATGTATATGTTTTGATATTATAAGATAGTATGATGTAAGTAAATAGGTACTATCAATGTATGTGTTGAGATCCACTATCGTGGACCCCCATATTCGTTTTATGGACCCCCAAATTTTTTTTCTCTGACGTAGACCCCTTGGAGGTTGTCATAGACCCCTAGGGGTTGATATAGACCACTTTGGGAATCAATAATACTCTAAACTATAGAATATCGATTACTGTATACGAGATAGAATGGATAAACTATTAAATGCTTCTAAAATTTCAGTGGAACTGTATACATAAAATATATTGAACAAAGATTAAGTGATACCAAAATTTATGTGTTACTGTGTGTTGGAAATATATTGTTTAAATAGTGACTTAAATTTAGGATGATTTGATGTTTTCCTAATAGTGATGTCTAATGCATTATAATATTTATCGGTGCTATAGGAGTGAGAGCGCTGAAACACGGCTTTGTGATGTTTTGACATGGATAATGTGCTGGTATACTTAAAATTTGAATCATGGATGCTTCTTCTAAATATTATCTTGTTCCATAAATGGTGGTGAACGAGTAAAAATAAATATTTGAACAAGTTATTAATTTTGAGTCATAATAAATTTCCTAAGATTATTTATTAACCGTCAAGAAGGATTTTGAATTTGTAGGCGAATATTTGGCCCATGCAAAGATAATACGTTATGATTCCATATGCAATTTTGGAAATAATTAATGATTCACGCGTTTTTTGCTTTAAAGCTGAGGAACTGTCTGTTGATACATAACAGTCTTTTTATATCGAAACAGGCACGCAGGCAGAATCCTAAATGCCAGGTCGCCGCGCCTGCTATGGGAATCCCAAAGAACTTTTATTAATCCAATTTTTGAACTGCCTAAGATTAGTATAGCTGAAAAAAGCACCCTCTTGTAGATTGTTCCACAATCTCGACACTCTCAGTACAAAGGAGGGGCATATCGGCCAGATCTGGATGTACAAAGTTCTACACGGTTAGGATGGGATGCCGAAGTCAGGCGGGTCTACCTGGCAGACACATTGCGCGGCGCCATCACGGAGGAATGCTTTCAGAAGCAAAGTCCGTTGGAATAACGGTTCAACAGAGCTAATCGCCGACGGCCCAATGGTGCGAAAGGGTCCCTAGAAAGAAGAGTCATCGATAAGGCTGACAGGCCTTCTCAGGACAGCATTGAGTATGAGTGGTGTAGTCGGGGCCGCAGCACCCCAAACGTGTGAGCAATAGAGTGAGGAGGTGATACGGAGAAAAGTACTTTCTAGCCCTAAACAAATCGCCCAGCCTTTCCCAGCATCTGCAGTTATTGACGGAATGTGTTCGTGCCAGATGAAGTCCTCGGTGTTCTGGACTCCCGAATGAGCGCTAGTACGCTTTTTGGTCTTCAAGGTACAGTACTGCGTTTTGGAAACATTAAACTTTACATGATCATTGCGCACCCAAGCAGATAGGAAGTCGCTGCTAGTCTTCTTTTTTCCAGTTTCAGCCTAAAACATCGTGTTTTGACGACGTTATTAAGATGCGTGCGAAAACGTAGGTCTTCGTTTATGAGTAGGCACAGACGTTTGCATACATCATTGAATTTTAAGCAAGTGATGACTATTTTCAGATCCAGTCGTGCTTTTAGATGTCTCCGCTTTTCTCTTTTGCAAATAGTCTATTTGATTTTCGAGGATAAAGTTTCATGCTATTAGTAGCAGAACAGTTACTAATACTTTCGAGACCAATATTAATTAATTACTTCGAATCTGTGATTTTCAACACACTTGATTCAAATTGCCAAATCAGCTTCACAATTGACTGGATTCATTATCAGAAATGGTAGATCTTTTTCTAACACAGAATCATTAAAAATACTCTTCACTTTAGTTAGAAGCTCGCTTGAATACGATTGTACTATCTGATCTCCATTTTATGTTATATATACAGGGTGTCCGCAAAGTTGGGGTTTTCCTTTACACGACGTGTAGATCTTAAAAACATAAGCAATTTTTCTTAGTATCATATACACCAATGTCTTGAGGGAACCGAGATAAAGGGCTCTGCAACATCAAAAAAATCTGAATACCGTCCTGTAGCCGCGACCCGCGACATCACCGAGTGGTACAAGGTCACTGGCTCAACCCGACGACAGAACTGGGTCGGGGTCAGTGTGTCAGGTCAGTATGCAACCTTCAACCGACGGTTACGATCACGCGTGTAGAGGTAAACGAACCCGTATAATCGATTGCGTTTCAAAAAAAAATAATAATGGCACACTCATAAACCAATAATGAACTCGTTGATATGTTGTTAATTTATGGCAAATGTCTTCAAAATGCTACAGAGGCTTCGCGAGTGTATGCAGATCGTTTCCCTAGACGACATCATCCAAGGCCCCGCAGATTTGTGTACCTGGTCCAGAGAGTCAGGGATACGGGCCATTTGGAGGAATTTCGAGGTGGGCACAGTGGAAGGCCTAGACAACCACGAATGGTGCAAGTTAAGGAAGAACTACTGAATGGCGTTGACGAGAATCCCTCGACAAGCACTAGAGACGTGGCTAGAGAAGTGCAAGTATCAAAAACTAAAGTGTGGCAAACGCTGCGTGAAGAGGGGCTGTATCCGTTTCACGTCCAACGTGTACAAGACCTTCAACCTGACGATTTTCCAGCAAGAGTGCGGTTTTGTGAGTGGTTGTTGCATCAACATGACAATAATCCGGACTTTTGGAAGTGCATATTGGTGACAGACGAATCTACGTTCACGCGTAATGAGGTGAATAACTTTCGCAACACTCATGTTTGGTCAGTAGAAAATCCGCACGCTGTCCGTCGGGATGCAATACCTAGACTTTTTACGCAACATTTTGCCTTCCTTGTTAGAAGATGTTCCATTAAGTGTAAGACAATCAATGTGGTTTCTGCACGATGGTGCACCGTCTCATTTTAGGCGCGAAATGCGTGAGTTTTTGAATGAATTATTTCCGAATAGGTGGATCGGACGTAATGGACCCGTAGCGTGGCCTCCGCGATCTCCAGACTTAACACCATGTGATTTTTTTCTTTGGGGAGAAATGAAACGCTTAGTGTACAAAACTGAAGTGCATACGGTTGACGAACTTCGTCTCAGAATTGAACAAGCTGGTGCTTTCATTCGGGGGAGGGACTCCATTCTCAAAGCCTACACCGATGCTTGGCTACGTCGTGCACGCACCTGAGTTTTTGAATCAAACGGCGATAACTTCGAACAATATCTATAAAGTACGTTTACCTAAAAACTGAAAACGCGGCAACGCCGTCATATTTGTTACCTCTGTTCGTGGTCTGCACCACCGCCTGCGTCTGCCCGGTAGCGCATCAGCTGATTTCATTTTCTGTTGGAGCGGTATGATTTCGGGCAGAGACTTACCTAGCCCTTCTCGTCAACTGGAGAGTGAGTACTTTTTCCATTATTTTTTTTACTTGGTCGCCCTCGTTTCACTACACATTACCTTTGTTATTTCAAGGGTAGTTGTTTCTGAAAAGGACAACCCCAACTTTGCGGACCTGTATATATATATATCTAAAGTCTAGAAAATTCAACCGACAGTTTTAAAATATCTGTATTTAAAGCCATTAAAAATGGTGCATATACTCCGTTCAACTATAAGCTGGTGCTTGCTAAGCAGTCAGATTGACTGTGGTGAAATTTTGGCCAACTTCAACTTTACTATACCTAAGTTGAATGGTAGGATCTACACTTTGTTTTATCTACCAAAGGCTTCAACAAATATTATGCAAGTATCCCCTTCATTTAGAATATCGAAATGCTTTAACGAAGTTAGCCATCTCTTTAAATTTGATATGAGCGAAGAATATTGTCATATTCGAAAACCGTTCAGTGGCGTAAAACTTTTTGCCTTTCCAGTACCTTTTAATTTTAATCTTTATGTATTTTAGAGATAGGATTAACGTTCAGGAATATATTAATTGGCACTGCACTGGTGAGACTTTGTATTGGATTTCTGATACACACATAGGGTCTTTTTGGTATCATCAACCCGTGATACTACTTCTTGTATGTGTGTCTATTTGTCCTTCAACACCTGTATAGTGTTTTCCTGTAATTAGAGATTGTACCTGT